ATACCCAATAATAATTATATTTTTCATATCAAGGGTAATTCTAAATTCAACCAGAATTTATGATTAAAAATGATTTTCCTGAATTATTATATAAAATGAAAAAAAATCACACGATTGCGATTCTGCTTTCAGAATTATTTAAAGAAAATATAATTAAAGGAATGTTGAAATTGTTAAGGCTACTAAATGTCAACTATCTCTAGGCAAGTTCTTTTTTGTAAAACACTTTTTTTGGAGATAACACCTACACTGGACACACGTCTATATCAAATATCATGAACTTATGATATATGTTCTTTGAGAAACATTAATGTTATATAAATAATTGTGTATACATCAAGTATTCAATGTTAATATACTGAACAACGTCTATTGTCTATAACCCATATTGAGTAAACAGAATTTATGTATAAATAGTGAATTTAATGCGATTTGAACCCGGATATAGCCGTACGATTATCGTACGATTAAGGCTTCGCATCATGCTCCGTTTGGTGAGCCTATCTGTTTACAGTAGGTATACAGGACACTGTAAAAACAAAAGGTATATACATAGCTAAGCACATTTTACTTATGCTTGTTTGGTATAATAGTTTTTTATTTCATTAAGATAAGTAGGTACCTTAAAAAATCAAATTAATCATTAGCTATAAAATCTTGATCATAAAGCTGTATTAATAATCTGAATGACTACTTTTGTTTTTTATTATTTAGGAAAGCTATAGATTTTATAACAACGATCAATAGCAGTCTATGTATATCTTATGTATATATTTAGGTTGCTAAGCAGCATTAGGTATATCGTGTATATATATATAGGTTTCTATATATTTAGGTTTCTTAAACAATATCTTCTTTAGTTCTGTGCTAAATTTTAATTGATTACCACTATGGGGTTCTTAATTCAACAAAATTAGTACGTAATATAATTATTAATTTTGAAGTTAGTAAGAACAATAAAAGTATTTTATTTTGAAAATATGTATTTTGCATTTTAATAAACAATTTTTAAAATTGTATAAACTACATACAAATGCTTTTTGTATTTTATTACATTAACGATTTTATACATCTCTAATTATGGGACAATATTTTTTATCACCATCAGAAATTGTATATTTTCGAAAACAAATATAATTTGTACTCTATGTATGTAGTTGCAATTTTATAATAGATTTACTAATTAGTTGTGTTGATGAGAAAAAAATGTACCCCTACTGACTATCTCGTTCTTTGACAACTCCTCAAGATTGCCGCTAAATCTTCTGAGATATTTCTCAAGAATATTCTCGAGACCGTTACATTTTCCCTTTCTTAATGTTACCGCTTGCATCTATCTACTCTGGAATTCTCTAGGTATTCTATGTACCACTTGAGTCTTTGTTGCTTATCTTCTATTGCAGAGTGCATTTCATATCTGTTGTATTCGCTAGAATAAACAAATCAAATTTCTAAGTAGATATTTTATAAATGCGATTTATAAGAATTTTTGTTTAGGAACTAGCTGTGCCCGTCACTTCATATAAGTACGTGATATAGATAGATAAGCAAAAATAATAGCGATATTTTTATTTGTAAATAAACACAATATTTTTAAGTGAAGTTTACTACAATAGATTACTTATAACCGGGGCTAAATCGAATAAGATGAAATTAGCGGACACAAACACACACACAGACAGACAAAAATCTAACAATCGCTGTTTTGTGTGACTTTAATAGTAACCCAGTAATGGTTTTTCTTGCACATCTTTCATGTAGGTAGGTATTCAGCTATTTGTTACATTGTATATATATATATAGCCTGTTCTGATTACTATTGTATATTGGTTACATTTGGTAATTTGTGTTCTCACAAAATCTTGAATAACGTTTATTTAAAAGAGCAAGTATTTCATTATTCTTGGCTCCTAATGTTTGGCAGAATAAAAAGAATGACTACAGAAAAGTTCTTATATATAGTTTATTTATTTTTATTTGTATAAAGATTATTTCTATTTCTATTATTAGGCACACTTATAGACAATAATAAAGCTATTGGGAATATTTATCTGTCTCTCCAGTCACGTATCACGTAGTACGCGCGACTGACCTCTATCGTGCACAATCAGCAATTCTTTTTTTATTCGAAAAGCAATAGCAACAAGTTAAGGAAAAATATTTTAAAACTCTCTATGGTTTTCAGTAGTTACTATGCAAATCGTAGTGGTATGTATTAACGTATGGTAGGTATTAACGTATCTGTAACATTTTTTAACATGATTTTAATAATAATCTTCCTGGACAAATCCATTGTGCTATCTAGAGCTCGGGTTATAGGTGCTGGATAATTGAATGATAGATTAAGATATATTTTTTGTACTACATACATAATATATACAGAAAATATAGAGATCAATCAAAAAACAATCATACTTATGAATACAAATCTTTGTACTGACCGAGGAATCGAACCCACGATCATCAGAAGCAGTATGTTAAACCGCTAGATCACCGAGGCCATAATTTCCTTGTAAAGATGTCATCATCAGTATAATATCATTCTTAAGCCAAAATTGAGGGAGCTTTTCATTATGCTACACTTACAAATGTTTAAACTTAATCGTTATTTTAAGTATGTAATATTATGTTATCTGTGTTTTAAGTAAGTACTCGTATCTTTTATTCGCAAAAAGGCATAAAATTAACAATGTCATAGACATTTCAGTAATGAAAGAATAAAAAAAATATTAGGAATGTAATGAATAAGGGAAGAAATATCAAAATCTTTCTATAGTTAGTACATAGGTAAATAGATACACTTTGATATTTAATACGTAAATAATATTAATGTTGCCTATTAAAGGTATTCACATAATTTAGTGATTATATGTTATACCTTATTTTTATATGATTTTTTCTTCCAAAAAAATGTAATGTTGAAAATTACATCTGTTGGAAAAGAAGATAATTATAAAGATGTAATACAGAATGTCACAAAATTATCCCTAAATACCTATTAGCGATCTAAACAAAGAAATATAAATATATCGTTGACATTTCAATTCACTGCTCTTTTTTCCACTCTTTAGTTATTTAGTTTAGGTTAAATTAGGCATCGTAAAGTAGTATTGCGTCTTTATCAAAATACAGAAGGGTTGTTAATTTGCAGGTACAACATTTTAAAGTGCATGTTTCACACCCTACATTAGCTTTAATGTAGTGTCCATAAAATGTACTACTAATGTACTCCATTCTATTTTATTACACTTTCACTTTGTACTTAAAAACTTGAAAGATTTAAGTGGATTGGTGGCTCTTTTAATATAAGAATTCTTGCACAACTGAAACGATGCACTTTACAGAGGCCTTATTGGTGTGTATGAAAATCATTATAGGGTGTTTTATTTAAGACTACGTTTTTTTAATGAATAGAATTTATCCTATTGTTGGTTTCATACTAATTTAATCATTGATAGTAAATTCTCAACTATATAATACTTTGTTAATGCGTTAGTAGTTAGTAGTAAATTATTTTATTTAAAAATAATAGAAATATTTTACATAAAATGTTTAAGTTAAAATATAGGCTGGCCTGTTGCCAAAGCCTGCATTAACACTGTCAAAGGGATAAGAATAAAACCCTCAAGATTAGTAGTAGAACAGCGAGAAATCTACTTTTACTGACGTAAAAGGTCAAAGTATTTGCCGTAAGAAAAATTTACATTTTCCTTTTCTTTGCAATTTCGTGGAGTTTTATTTTTGAAGGGGGTAACCTTTGTATTTCAGCTTTGAGATCATAAAGCTGACTTCTTAAAGATTTCTCGTCTGACACATTCTAAAAAAAGGCTAATGAACAAATAAAATAGAATACAAATTACAATTTTACGCACTCGCAGTTTTTTGATGTTTCTAAGGAATTATGATGTAAACATGTTAATCTTTATAAAATTGTTCAGTACTTTTCAAAAGGAAAGTAGTAGGTAGTGAAAACAATAATCTTTCAAGAGGCGATTTTAAAACCTTGGGATGAAAATAAAATTTATTTATTTTTAACGTACTTTTAGGTAAATTGAATTCAATAATTAAAATCTTGAAACTTAGTAGGTACCTAGGGTTTGTTCGCTGTCTTATTTTTAGTAATATTTTTAATTTCCAGGGTTAAATATAAAACAAAGCTTGTAATTTTACTTATGCTAAGTAGGGTAGTAGAGCCGATTGCCTTCGAAACTTTAAGGAAAAATCTACGTAAAAATCTGCTAAACCGTGATTGTCTCTAATAAAACTTAAACAAATCAATATGAATAATTTAACAATCAAAAACAATATGTATTTAGAACAGTTTTGTTCTGTAGTTTTTATATACAAGAATACAGGTTTTTTATGTCGTCTCTATATTTATAATTTCTTTACAAATTCGTTAAACTTGTTCATAGTGTTTTAAGGGGACCAGCTTTCAAACCATTATTCTATTTCAAGAAGTAAGATGTATTTTGTTTGAATTACTAAATAGGGCAGACAAATTGCAGAATATGGAGGTATAATATAGTCTTACGGAATGCCAGCGTGTGTGTCTGTTAACAAGAAGAATTGTATGGTAAATAAAGGTATTTACTTCTCCTGACGTTTCTACTAGGTTACTCTCGCCATGGTCGCAAACTTATTTTTATTAACTTTTTTACCATAAAATTATTCGCGTTAAGGCGAGGTTAATGATATAAATGTTAAGGGCATTAAATGATAACGTGACGTCCATGGTGCTGTTAAGACGGTCATCACTTACCATCAGGTGGCCTGACAGCTTGTTTGTTATAAAAAAATAAATAATTATTAGTAATATCTCAAAACAATTTTACACAGTGCCATCTAGCCCCAAGCTAAGCAAAGCTTGTGTAATTAGCATATGTGTTTAACCTTTGGAAGTAAATCGGTCTACTAAAGAGCTAAACCACAGAGGCAGTCTATTAAATATTTATTATTTATAAAAGATAATGTTCAAAATATTACTTTCTTCGTTGCAGCAATGAATTTCTCAATGCAATTGGCCGTGGTGGTGGCAGCGGCGTGCTTGTGTTTAGCTGACGGGGCTCCAGACGGCCGGCTGGTGAGGACCAAGCAGCAGCGACCTACGCGGGGCTTCAAGAACGTCGAGATGATGACCGCCAGGGGCTTCGGGAAACGCGACCGACCCTCCACCAGAACCGAACGTTAGTTACATGTTGTTTAAGTTTTTAATTTTAAATTCTTTTATAAGTATTATTATTTTATTATTAATATAGTTTTATTTATAGTCATATAAGTTTCTATTAAGTTATAATTGTCATTTGTTTTTCTAATATCGTATCTTTCAGGTATAATATTGATATATCACAAATATAACATAAATATTAAGAACAAAATCTTCCACATCTAAAACATCTATTTTACAAGAACACTTTTAAAAAGATATACAATATTAAAATATTATATAATTTTAAGTGTTTCTGGAAATTGACAATTATGCAAACGTACAAGATTTAAATATTTTTTAAATATTAATGGCAATATATTTTTTTTCATTAAATAAAATAATAACATTTATTTAAAGATGCAGATTTATGCAGTTACTGCTCTACTAAAGGAATCACACGAAATAAAAACATTTATTTTATAATTTATTTGGTTTTGTATAATAATATGAATGTGAATATTTTTGGTTTCGTTTTAATTGATGTAGGTAAATATATTTTTTATATTTGCATGATTTTGTAAATAGCAAATTGATTAAAAGTGAAAACAGTAAGTGCCTACTATATTATTTCAAGAAATTTTCATTCGTTCAAATATGTATTCTCAAAGGTGATGTTCATTTCAATAAATATTCTCAAAGGTGATGTAGATCACGTAGAACACCATTCGACGTCGGATCGCACTGGGCGGGGAATCCCCACATTTAAGAGTCCCACAGTTGGCATCGCACGTGACTTCGGGAAAAGAACTTCAGAAAAAGTGGGAGAAGGTACAAAATGGATTGGCCAAACAGCAACCCGGTTATATTAATTTAATGTACCGCTTATTCAACTAAAAACCCATAAACTGCTGGGTACTGCCATCTGGTTAACGTGATGGTAAAATGTGAAGCCATAGATAAGTTATACAAAATATACCAGCTGTCTGATTATGTAATGAACTTGTTAACAATTTTCAAATTGGACTGACTAGCACACGTAACTGTTACACGTGACCCCTTCTGCTTTTTTGCCATAAAATCTTGTCTATGATTTTATGTCAAAAAAGCATGATATATTTTCCCGTTAAATTTTTTGTAGATCAGTTTTAGCTCTTGAATACCTACTTGAGATAATAGTTTTTCTGTAAAACAACAAATTATTTGTGTATAAAACATGAGTTCTCTTTGAGTTAATTCACCTGACTGGTATCTGTGTTGTCGATATCCCCTGAAAATTCTTTTATCCATGTACCCATGAATGTACTAGTAGAGAAATCTTTAATATAAAATAAATCTTTTTATAATGAGAATTGTTAGCAATTACCTTACATCGTTAAACATCTGAAAAAATAACAAATTAAAATACTGTTCGTGTATCGTCGAGTACGTATACTTCACAAAACAAATGGAAAATGTCGCAAGTCAAAGCATGACTTGGTTAAGTGCAACAACATCATAAGGTATTTAATATTAACTTATTATTACCACAAATTATGTACTATATTAATAAATCTAGTTTGTAGGGTGTTCTCACTAATAATTCATTGCTAAATAGAGTATTTTAAATGCTAAAAAATAATTTAGTGTCCTTCCTTTTTGAAATCATTACATATTTTATTCTTAAAAGGGCGTTATCCCATATGTAATGATGACCACAGTGTAAAACTTTGAAATAAACATTGAGTGACGTAATTAAAATAAAATTACATTACTCAATATTTTATTCAATTTACCATTAAATTATACACGTTAAAACACGATATACTATGTATATTAAATATATGTAGGTTATAAATGTAAAAGTATTAAAAGTACCTATTTAAATAAAACTAAACAACTTATATTATTGTTGCACTCAATGCGCTATAATTTTGAAATTGCCATTCAAGTGACGGCGATGTATCTAGCTTATTTATAACTTGTATCAGTTATAACAAAAAGGAGTTGTTAGAAACTACCCAATCAGAAGTGCTTTATTATGTGGTGTTAACATCTTAATTATTAAGTACAATTATCGTATTAATAGAAGTGTGCAATAGATGTGTTCAAAACAATGGTAATATAAAATGTCTTAATTACGGAGGTAATGCTATAATTTGTAATTATAGTATAAATTATAGGATTTTGAAGCAATTTTTTAATAGATATATATAAAACATACACACCCGTGTGAAGCCAGGGCGAGTAGCTAGTATATCATAAAATACTGGAGATACACTCATATGGGCGAACAATGACATGCAATGCCATTTGCTATCAAGTGGGTTGCCAGTTACAATTAATGTCTAATTGGCTTTAAAGAAATGGCATAAGAGAAAATATATTAATCGCATCCAGTTTATATGAACTGCTTAAATGCAATATATAAACTAGACATGTTTAGTACGACATAGGATAGGCAAAGGACAGAGTGGAAAATATAGAATTTGTTCGGTAGATACACTTTCCATCATTCAATTCCACCTTACACCAAGGGTGAAAGCCAATACATAGATAACTGAACCAACTGCGGAGAAATATTTGATATGATCATCAAATATTTCATATACTATCATTATCATATATAATTAAAATATATGTTAATTGTTACCTGCAAGTTCGGCAAAGAGATCTTTTTTTTATTAATATATATATATATATATAACAAAAATAAAATATTAGCTATCTGCGAGTGAAAATCCCGTCAAAATTGGTCCAACCGTTTCAGAGATAGAACAAACAGACAGACGCAAATTATATTGATATGCATTTAGAGGAATCCTGTTAATTCCAAATTACAAACAGATATTTCAAATTTATTTATTTATATATAGTATAGATATATCATATGATTCTAATTTCTAATGTGATAGTAATAATTTTCGGCTACAAACAACTATTTATACATGACTATTTCCACCATTATATAAATCAGAACTAGTTACTGTTCTTACCCGTTTACAACCATTGTTTATTATTGGTATCTATTTATCTAAATACACTTATCTTCTTTATTGATATTCATTGCACATACTCAATTTTACATGTTACAAAAGTACGAGTACAGGAACATTACATTATAACAGATATACCATGTACATACACACCATCAATTTCAATCCAACAGAACAAGTCGAGTTCACGGCACCTGCACGCAGGAAGTTCTATCCCAAATCTTCATTAATGGTGGCCTCTGACTTTGGAAAGAGGAGCTATATCGATGGCAATAATGATGAAGGTAAAATGTGATTGACGCCTAAGTGTGTAGGCGGCTTTATTGTCAAATCATACCAAAAGATTTGTATGTTGGCATGATTTGAAATTACTCAGTCATAACGAAATATACATATTTGCTTTTAACTGTTAAGTAGTATATGCAAATTTGCTGCTATTATATAAAGCAATTGTCTAATGAATAAAAATTTGAACAGAATATGAAATTAGAGTGACCAGAGGCGTATTCAAGCCCAACGGAAAGATACTAATCGCGAGAGGTTACGGTAAAAGAAACGAATTGGAAAATCATGGAGGTAACACGAACGAGAGATAATCTCAGATCCATTAACAGAGAAAATACAAACACAATGCCGATCGGGTGTTGTTTAACGTGCAATTTATGAGAAAACGGCTTAAAGCCGCCGGCTTTTATTTGTATAAAGTATTATACGATTTTTGTTATTTGTGTAAAAGTTAACGTATAGCCTCGGGGACTGGCGATATTGGAAATAGTGGACAAACATATTACATCCACCATACTTAACATATAATCATACATAATAATACTTACATTTACACACGTGATTGCTTTCATCGTTTGCTTTACGTAAAAAAATCAGTGAGCTTCGCTATAAAAATGTGTACAGGGTTTATTGCTTAGGCATACCTACAAACTTAACTATAATAATGTATACATTATTCATTAATTAATAAAATGTTAAAATTGTATTTTATTATAAAGTGACTATTAAATCAAAACACCTCAGTAGACTTATATATATGTCATTACCTAAAAATATCCTTGAACATCTGGCCATTGTAAAGAAAAGCTAGTCTAAAAAGTATACTTTGTACCATAAATGACATTATTTTTATAAACACCGATGAGTGCATAATTCTACTATCACCCTCAGCGGTTGTCCCTATTAGAAAAATTGAATAGACACACTGTCAGCCTCCGCACAGGGACATGATATTTACAATTTTAACATAATGGAGAGTTTTATGATGTTGAAAGTTTAATAAGATAAGTTGTTATGAGGAGTCTTTAAGATAATATTCTTTATTCAAGCTCAAGGTTAAAAAAAAGCCTATGGAAAAATACATAATAAGTAGGAATTGATTTATTTATAATTTATTCAGTATTTAAAACATTTTGTCTGCTTTTCCATATCTTGCTAGATTTTTTATATTTTATGAATAATGTTGTGTACATTATTCATAAAATATAAAAAATCTAGCGAAATGTGAATATCATTACAAGAAATTATACGCTAATATTGAACTTATTGTCAGATATACCTGTTAAATCTATAAAGTATAAGGACTGAGAGGAACTGAAAATTTGTGATGGAGTACATGTAGCCTTCTGTAATAGAAAGTAGGCAATATTATGATTTTGTTTAATATGTGGTGTTTATAAGAACAATAATCAGGTATCGTACCATATTGATTTATATTGTATACTTATTAAACACACAAGGAAAATTAAAAGTGAAGTAATTTAAATTAGACCCATGGGACTACTAATACTAACAAATACTCTTTAGCAACTCGCTTATAACTCTTATGATTCCTAAAGTGTAACGGATACTTATGGGCGATTTTAATGATTTATCATCAAGTACGAAACATAATTGTGTTTGCTGTGAAGTATAGAAAAAAATAGTGACAATGTGTCAATAAAATATATATATTTATATAAAGTAGATATTTGATAGTGCAATACTCTATAGGCTTTATAATTCTAAAGACTTCATAATCTGAAGAGTAACTGCTAAAGAATTGCTTTAGTTAGAGACGGTAAGTAAGTGGGTGGTAAAATTTTATATGTATAAATGAATAAATATTCTTGCTTTGATTTTGTTAAATATGGCAGCAATACGTGTCGACTGTCATTAAATAATGTTATATTTATTGTATATTGTACCAAGCTGATAATATCAATACAACCCCGTTATATGAAAGGTGAGAATAGTATATTTAGCAAAATTCATTTACCAAATGGAATGGTTGAAGTGCTTGTGAAGGAGAGCTTTCATTGTGTCTAGTGACGACCTTATAAGATACTTTTGTATCAGAAATGTTGCTTATTGCGTGTGTCTGTGTCGTTATGAGATATAAGTTAATTGGAGGTGTGGAACTATTTCCACTTGTGTCAACAACTTCACATTTATTTTTCGCCTTTCAACAAAAGTTGTCTTTCGTAATAACCTGGTATCTTTTATTAAAGTGTTTATTGCTTTTGTATCTCTGGATATGTAAAGAGTATAAACTGTATGTATATATAACTTCAGACTTGTCATTTTCTAAATACTGTCTATTACGTAATTTTCAAAAAAAGAATTGTTAATTATACATATTATACCTAATATTTATTTCTTATGTCTAGGTATATTATTGATTATGACAATGTCGAATAATATTTTTTTATTAAATGAATATATTTTTTCTAAAATAGAATATTCAATTAAAATTTTAAGTTGGATTTATTCAACAAATTTTATTACGTATTTTGAAATTTTATCTCTACTACTTTAATGCCATTTACACTACAGTTCAAATCATATATGGATCATTGATAATTGTTTATTGACATTGATTGGACTTTGCAAAGGGTCCTATGATCATTCATACGTATCTACGTATGAACTGGTATGTAATTATCGTGCTCTACTAATGAAAATTAAATTAAAGTAATATTCTAAATAGAAACAGTAATTACATTTGAATCGGTCAGTGTGTCAAATTGTCAGTTAAATTGAGTGATGAATAGTAATTAATGCTATATAATACTAAATGTAATTACTACGAGAGATTATAAATATATATAATGCAATAGAGTAAATTATAATGAGAAAATAGTAATACGATAAAACAGTTTAGTTAGAAATCTTTTATTATTGTGACTATTACAAAAGTTTACCAAAAATAAGATAAGTAGTTAAGATTTAATGCAAATGATCTTGATTAACTTTATTAACGACCTTAATTGAATTTTTTGGAAAAATTATGAAAACTAACTTTTTAATTATTACGAAAGGCGATCAACTCATGATTTCAGCTATTCAAAAGAACATTAATTCTGTGTTATATTAATTTATGGTATAATTTACAGTTTATGGCCTGGATAACTTCTGGGAAACTCTGGAGGCTTCACCGGAAAGGGAAGGACAAGAGGGTACCGAGGAAAAAGCAGTTGAAAGGTACTGTACTATACATTATGTACTGTAAATAAAAATCCATTTACGAATTTATGGAGACTTACCTACTAATCGATTGCTTATATTTCTAATGTCTTCACAATTGTACGTACAAGGTATGAATGTAAGAATATGTTTGAAAAATGAAAAAAAACTGTATTGTGTAAATCTTACACATAAAAAAATATTGACACATGTTGATTTCTTTATAATTCTCATTTTTTAGTAGTAATGTTATGCATTGGGGTGCACCAATGATGTACGCAATGTTTGTGCATTCAATATAGTCGTGTATCTGGAAATTACGATGTTTATCCCATATACATAATTAAGGATATATTCTCCCTATATAGAAGGTGTTTTATTCGTTTCGAACAATTTAGTATATCAACGTTACAAGAATATATATATAATAATTGTAAAAATTCACAAAGGTAGCGTTTAGAGAATTTATTTTTAGTAAGAAATCAGTCTTACGTTTGTACCAACTTCTAATTGATCTTTCAAAAATGGCAGAGGAAAAATGCTATTAACTGTAACGTAGTGATTACGGTAATTATCCCCAGGGGTGGGCCAGCTTATGTCTACTGTTAAAATAAAATTTTGTTTAATCGTCTGTTGTTCGTCTGTTGAAAGCTTTGTATGGAGTTAATGGACTTTCTTAATTATAAGCAGTAGCTATTATTAAATGTCAGATAGAAACAGAAAAGTTTTTACATTACTGCAATGAATTCTCTTACTGGTAAATCTTAAAAGTAATAAAGTATATTAATAAATAATATAACTATTCAAAATTCTTAGACATATAAAAAAACAAATGTTTTTTTGTATAAATTATAATATACTATCTATGTAATAGATTCTCTCACAATTTTGGTTGAAATTGTAACTATCAGGAAAAAAAAATATTTTCATTAGCACCAGCTTTTCCTATTTATTTTCTTACCCTTTGCGATCGGCGTAATGTAACGTATGAGGAGAAAACTTTGGCGTGAACTATGTCCAAATAAATTGATATATTAATGGGCGTTATTTAATTTCTTGCATTGTAAGATAAGATTTGATTGCATTAGAACATGCTTGGGAAGCATGACTGGCAATAGGAACTCTAGGATAGAAAAGTTATACATATCTGGGAAATTAAATATTGAGATTTTTAATAAGATTGCCACGTCCAATGAAAATAAATGCTCGTCATAATATTAGTTGTCTGCCATATGCAAATGACACGCACCATCGCATTTAATTACAATCTGCATAATTAGCAATCAGTAGTATTGCATGTGATAGCATTTATTTTGCCACTTTGTTATAAATAATTATTATACAAACGTTTGAATACTGAGTCGATACACAAGTTTTATTACCGTTTAATCTATTTTTTAAATTAATATTTACATTTACAGTCCATTAATGTCCCACTATGGGAGTTCACTAACTTATTTTATTTTTAATGGGTGATAATAGTATAGTATATCCGACTGTGCTAGCGTATACGCTGGGGAGGTATTATTGGAGTATGGTATAAGCATGAAATCAGGCCTGTTAAACCATTCATGGAATATTCACGACGGTTTCCAATAAAGATTATATGAAAACGATCTTATATCTCTATTAGCGATCCCTCTATATTAACTTACCATCACCATAAGCCCTAGTTATTTTTTATAGCTTTAGTTGAATAAAATAGGTGTCCATGGTTGAAACTTTAGTCGAACCATGCATACACATGCGTATTACCTACTTATTCCGATTTGGAAACTCAATTTTCTGCCCATTTTAAGGCTTAATTAATAAAGTATATTATTGTATTCTCTACAACATTTCTTTTTTATAGAGAGAGTAGATTAAATTAAATCACTATAATAACGCGCAATTTTTGTACGAGTAAGCCTCAGTCAAATTTCGCTTGGTTGATCATCCCAGCACCTATTGTAAATTAAAGCTGATTATTTAATTCATAACTTTTAATGCTTGACATGATACCGCTGATGCTTAGCTATTATACTTAGTTAATAATCTCATTATATTCAGTTAATTGATGCGCAAATTCTATTTAAATACAATGAATTGAAAACTGTGAATTATTCAACTGAATATCTCGTATAACTCAAAGTCAGCAAAATATTCGTAATATTTTGCTAAGTTTGCAATTACTTAGGTATTACATACCTACACTCGATTATATATTGAATCATCATAAAATAGTAAATTACTAGTATGTAAATAATGAGCGTAGTAAAATATTCAAGAATAGCAAATTCTGTATGCAGACTAAGACCTCTTATACATTTACGCTTAAGCAAGCATCAAGTTAAGCTATTTTACATCTGTACCTACTTGATTCCTAACTCTATTTTTCATTCCTGCATAATATTTAAATTGAACGGTCGCATAATCAATTTAGTATAACAAATTCATAGGTTATTTTCAGATTTCCACTTTATTTTTTAGTGTAGTTCAGAGTCATGTGTATTCCACCTAGCTTTTGGTTTGGTATACGGCTAATTGGCATATGACTTATTCTGTATTATGTCTATATTTCCAAAAAAGTATTCAAACACACTTGAACTGTAACATGAAATAGCAGCTTACTGTCTATACTGTTTTGATTGAAGGATAAGATAAGGCAGTAAAATTACAGGAGTAGGCATGGCATCTTAGTCCCCTGGAATGGTAATGCATGAGTTTCACGGGTGACCATCACCATCATGTGGGCTCGTCGTCTTGTTTGCCTTTAGTTCTATAGAAAAATAAAACTAGTTCTCGTATTTGCTTCCATTGTTGATTGTAGCTTTTGTTCTATAGCATCCCACTGGACTGGTTCGTAAACGAAATGCTCAACAACCCTGACTTCGCACGATCGGTGGTCCGCAAATTTGTTGATCTCAATCAGGTAAATCATTAAATCCATACAGATATTATAAATCCGAAAATAATATATCTATCTGTTTTTACTATTTACGATTTATTTTTTAATTTAGAATTGCAATATTAAATTATTTGTAATAGTAAAATTGAATGCATATATTAATTATACGAGAATAATACTTATAGTTCAAAATAATGTATCTTTCTTACTGCGGGAATTTCATATAAGATAGAATCATATAAGCAACTTAACAATAAAGTATTATATTTAATTATTATGTCTGTAAATGCACTTTAATTCTACCAGAACATTATTAAACCTACACTACATTATAAATAGATATAATGGAAGTGCAAAATCTTGTAAACAGAAACTACTCAGATTCATGCTAACTACGCTCTTAAATTAATTTGATAATTCAAATTAAGTTAAGAGCGCAGTTAGCATAATATAATAGTTTACATAATAAAATCATTTGTTACTTGATTTTGCAACTATGATATTTGCTATTGAAATGTTTGAAATCATAGGAAAGTGCATTTATATTACAAGGGAGAGTTTCAGTTGAGCAAACTATTTCAAACGAGTTTGAGGTATCTATGTAACTTTGAACGGAGTGAGCATGCGGGCATCGAAGCGTATGGAAAGTTCAGTCTCCTGAAATTTGGTACAGGAGTTAAATATTCAACGAGAACTAAGTAAATAACTAGTACTAATATTTAACATGATAGTTATTATGCAAGGTCTCGGTGTCTAGCGGTTTAGCACACCATTTTACTTCCAATGGTTGCGGGTTCGATTCCTCGCACGGTACAAACATTTATAAATGTGGTATTCATAAGTATGATTGTAAGTATCGGTCTATGTGTTTTCTATGTATAGATATTATTTATTTATTTACAAATGGTGTGGTTTTTCGTTCTTTAATATCGTACTGTTCATTTATACATAAACAAAGAAAACTTGGTAAATTATGTGGATTGTTTACAACTTAATAAACGTGTTTTCTTTGTAAATTTATATAAATAGAAAGAAAAATCTAGACGAATACTACTAGAGCATATTATTATTATATAAACTCTTAAATAATTGTATTCCTTTGTTATGGCTGATATACAATGTTAGTTATCAACCAAGCTCTCCATTAATTACTCTAAATTTCATTAGTTAAAATAATATTGAGTTTGACAAGTCAATTTACAAGTTACTTTTGTTTCAGGACGGCCAACTATCATCGGAGGAACTACTCAGGAACGTGGTTTAAATTTAGTTACGTTACAATAATACTCAAGTACCTATTATTTTATTAATGTATTAATATTATTTGTAAGTATTTAGGTGCATAATTTATTCAATAATTATTGTATGTACAGATGAGTTATTAACTTATTATATTTGTAATGTTACGGTACTGTGATATGAAATAAACATGATCCTTATTTATTTTAAATTTAATTGAGTTTTATAATTCTTGTTTCCGCTACTTTCATTATACTTAATGAATTGTTAATGAAAGTTAATTTAAATAAATAAATTGTTATTCGAATTATTATCAGTGTTGTAAATAAACGATGTCAATGGCATAAACATTTTGTCCATAAAGAGAGATTACTCTTAATATTTAAAAGATGTAGGTTAATTTCTTAGATATTTCCTTAACTTTTTGCTGCGTTTCTATCACGCAATGAAAAAAAATACAAAGAGTTACTGTTTAAGCTAATTTCGAATCAAAATAATGTAAGAGGTACAAGACTAAAATGTAATTTAATGTTAGCCACAGTTAATTATACTTACAACAAAGTCTATGGCCTAGTTTGGCGGGAGTTCTAAGACGTCACTAACTCTCTTTTCCTTTTTATCTTCCCTTCTTTCATATACACAAAATCCTGTGTATAAATTAAGTAGTTTCATAATTTTAAATAAAAGTAATGTAATTTTAGTTCCAAATTTAATTCAAAGTCCAACGGTTTTAACAATGAAAATTACTTATATTATTTGAAAAGTACATAATATTTCTTAACAGACCGTGCAAGTCAAAAGTGAATTCGTTCAGTAATGTGCGTTGAAGAACTTCCGTAAATTCTTTTCATTTGATATACTTGTAATTTCGTCAACGTATTTGCAGATTTACCAATAATATTATTATATTTTAATTCTGCGTAGGTTCAAGTAAATTTTTCAATAGTCAATTCTTATTTATGTATACTTATACACTACAGTGGTATCTCGAAAATGGCTCTAAGAAATTTAGATTAATTTTTAATTTGTTAAGGTTTTTTGCTTTTATGTATTTATGTATGTCTTCCCCGGAAAAATATAATTTTTCTGAATAAAGTTTATTTAATTATAAGCAGGTTTTATCTGTTGTATGTTGACAAAATTACGATTCTATGAAGTATGTTAGACTTAATCTAATGTTTATTAAACAGTTTGTTAAAAATAATAATGTATGAGATTATTTTATTAAACAGAATTAATAATATAGTAATAAAGTTTCTTCAGAATATATTTTGTTCTTTGTATTTATCTAAAATAGGCTGGGTATTTAATGTATTCTAAGAAGTCAATTTTCATGAATTAAAAATTATTAGAAAAAACTATCTGTCCTGTTATACCGCTCTACATACATACATAATGAATAAAATTGTATGAATATAATAATTATAGGGTATTAATTGGTAAATATGACACCTGAATGTTTGGATAATCTGTATTTACTTAGTTTGTTGTTTACCGATGTGACGTTATGGATAAAAATAAATATATCGGGTACCGACAATGGCGTTTTTATTTGCTCATCACAAAATTAATGAAGCCAGTCACATACTCTATAAAAATGTAAGTAGGGTCAGCAGATAAATGGTTTATTGTATTATGTGCCTACATACAAAATGTAGGAAGACGTGGAGCGGCCTGTCACGTAAGCACTAAACGGTTGTCACATCTTCATTCGATACATCGCTTCGGTTCTTAATACAATAGTGGTAAAGGTTAAAGTTGACTGAGGAATTATTTTAATCATACATCCCACCTACCTGTTATTGCTGAATTAGAAAAATAATACAGTCTATCTATAAAAGAATATGGGAAATACTGAAATATGGACACGTAGCATCTATTAGCGAATGGATTTCATAAACCTTTTTAATATCCAAATAAAAAATAGTTCAATCATCTATTACATAGTATAAGTTCTTATTTAAATCTCACTTAGTCATTATTTCTACCGACAAACTGATTGATTACATGCCGTCTTTCTGTTTGGAAAGTATCTACTTTATACCCTTTGTGGATACCAAAATGAAATATAGTCAGAATTTTCCTTTGTAAGAGTATATTAGTTCAAATGAAATCAAATTAAAAATAATTTATTCATGTAGGACATTTTAGCTGCTTATGAACGTAATTTTTTTTTTATTATTATTTTTCTCCTACCGTCCAATTCAGTATACAAATTCAATTGAGAAGAATCGGCAAGAAATTCAACCGATTTGTTTAATAAGTTTAGTTGAATACCTTACATTAGCATAGTAGTGGAAGAAAGACGTTGTTAGTACTAGTTGACCCCTTGCTAACTTTGTTCCTGTCCAGTCGATACCCAAGCGATTCCGTCAGGATACGATCGGGGTTTATACCTGGTGATTAGGTACTCTATATTGGTCCAAGTGATGGGATTTTATATTTATACTCTTACTCTACAGTACATATCCCGCCATCGCTCATTATTAGTATAGGCTGGATCAATATTATATTATTAAAATAATTACTTAATGACGCCATCTGTCTTAGTATAATTTCATTGTAGTGCCAAAACAATAAACTAAAATTCATTACGTTGATTTACGATCTTCTTGCCTTTATTACCTGTACTTTTACTATAGTTTTTATTAAAGACTTAATTTTAGAATAGACTAGTTCCTTTTGTGGGTACAGTTGTCTCAAAAACATAGATGACATAGTGGTAAATTTAATATATGGACGGTAAATTATAAATATCTATATATTTAAAAATTCATATTACGTTTATAATTAACAACCAACTAATTTATTATATTATCTTATTTAAAATTGGAATCTACACAAATATTATAAAGATGAAGAGTTATTTGTTTATAATTCTAGAAATTACTCTAGAACTACTAATTGAAAAATTATTTTATTGTTTTATAATCCATATATGCCAGATATTTGATTCTATCAAATAACTGGTTACAAAACGTCACAGTAGGACCAATAGGAACGGATAATCAATGACAAATGTGTACAAAAACGGGTAAAATTGATTTCTCTTGAGACCTTATCTCTCTGGCACAGATATGATAATAATAGTACATGCTCGTAGTGAGTAGTAGTAGGGAGTTAGCTAGTATATTAATATATAACAAGACATTTTTGATGATCGAAAGTGAAAACAACATAATTTTTCTGACTGTGTACAGAATATTAAATTTGGTCCTCAAAGATATTATTGACCATTTACACTACCATCTGTAAGAAGCTGACTGTACGTATTTAGTTATTTTATAGGTCGTGAAAATGAACGTTTGTCAAGTATCATGATCGTATTCGTTTCGTTTTACTGTTTGGGAACACATTACCTGCTAAGTCGTACCACGTAAATTCCATCCTGAGGCGAATTTCAATTATCCACATATTCTCAAGAGACGAGATAAAACAGACAATAAGGATTCGTTATCTACGCTATTAAATCTTATCCTATAGATACATATGTTGCCTGATTCTTCGCGTGTTTTTCTACTGACTTCCGAATGAAAGTGGTCCGGGATGTAACTGTATTTAAGTTTATTGTGTATTTAATTTCGATTTTGACGAAGATGGTGTGAAACATATATACATACAAAATGTATATATGTTTCACACCATCTTCGTCGAAATCAAAAGTATATATTTAGATACCATTTAAATACTAACAACAACAACAATAAAAAAAACAAAAATATTAAAAATTTATTATATATATTATATAATAAATTGTTAGTATTTTTGTGCAACATAAAAATTTAAATTAACCAAAAAGAATCATTGTATTGCTTTATAAATTCATTACAGTGTTATCATTATTTAATTTTTTTTTTAATATTGTACGCTTATATATTTTTTTTTATTTTACGATGGTGGAAAACAAATATATCTACGGTCCAATTGATGGTAAATAGTTACCGTAGCCTATGGACGCCTGAAACACTAGAGATGTCACGTGCTGTAGTCTCTCTAGAAAACCTCGACAGGTAGTTCAGACAGAGATCTACATAAGCAAAATAATAATTATTTGTTTGTTTCTTTACATAAATATACTTTACATATTTACAATACTATAATTGAAATTCGAAATTTTTGTAACAATATAAATAGAATTTTATTAAAATTTTAAGTGAAATCATTCAATAACTGACAAAGTTCTCGTCAAATAAGTACTTATTCTTAATTAGTCGATTCCCGTTTTGTACAAGTGTTATTCATTTAATTTACCTTCTTCTAAACGAGGTCAGGAGCTTGTAAGTTAATTATGATTTGAACATAATTTGTGAGTAATTCGAAATTGTCGCCTAAATTTAAAAAAAATATATACTTAATATATTCATCTACTCAGGCATATAAAAAAAATAGTTTAAAAGTGGCCCCAATAACGCAAAAACTAACCAAAAGCCGTCTCAAATGGTATTTATTTATTTAGGAAGATTAACGGTGTAATTTTACATGTTACTTGTCATATCAAATTGTCCTATACCAATTAATAATCTTCGCCAATAGTATGGCCATGTAATATGAAGTTACGAGTAATATATAGTCAAAAAAGCATTACAACTACCTGAACGCAAAAGAGGTAGTAAATGTCGTCCACCTGCTAGATCAGCATGAGTAATCTTATCGCGACAGAAAAATTGCCGGATCCGACAACCCAAAACAGATAGTCCTAGCGCAGCAAAATTAAGAGAGCCAACTCCACATAAAGTGGGACAGTATAAAGAATATAATAGAAAATCATTTATTCAATTAAAATTACATATGTATATATGATAAGTACTCTTGAATAATCATAATTTTTTTATCTACTGCTCATTCGGAAAGCGGTCTAATAACTAGAAGGATGAGCAAGAAAGTTGCGTGATAATGATAATTTAGTTCTAACTTTACATTTTTAAGTTGAAACACGTGAATATAAACACTAATTCTTTAGAATTAAAATATTAAACACAAGAAGAACAATAAGCTTTTCTCTTTGGAAAATCTTCAGTTTCAGGAATAGGTACTATTACTAATTGTCTGGTTAGTATATTCTATATGACTAACCCTCTATAGAAGACTGTTAAGTTCTACGTTAATGTCACTTTAAAACCGATAGAAGTTATATACAGGAGCTGTAAAATTTAGTTTCTTACGTAATTTATTCCCTCATTCATTATTTAAAAGCTGCTCTCTCGTCGTTAGTGCTGTGCTACCACTCGCTATGCTTTTTACCGAGTCTCTTTACATCTTTATATGATACAGTTTAATTCCAGCTCTCTTCTGAATATTTCTTAGTATTTCCTTAATAAGTATTTAGTGGACTTTCAGAAATTGGTCCTCGTATGGCCACAATTCCACGAAATTTTTTGGAACCAACTTACGTTAGATCTGAAGCGGAGTCGTCTTCCATCTCAAAGATTAAATTGGTTTGTTATCAGAATATATAAAACTTATGCAAAAATGTCTATTTCTAAAATTACAGCATTAGTAATATAAATTGATGCACAAAATTTTTGGTATGATGACCCTGAAAGCCATTGGGTTGTGCATTTGTAATATACAAGTCAATATCTAACTATATCTAGTAAAGAACTAGGTCACTGAACTATATTTTGTATCTTGTCTTTGCTAATTACAAAAAATACAATACAGTAATTTTGATTTAAATATATATATAGATACATATTCATACTATGTAAGAATTAAATTATAACAAAGTTAAAATTGCAATAATTACTACAGTCATAATGCAAGCAAAGTCACTTGCAAAAGTTTCTGTACTCTTAATGAAAAAGGTATGAAAGTATGCAACAAACTACCTAGGTATCCTGTTTTAGTTGAACTGCATCTTTGAAGTAAATTCCGCTACAAGATTTATTTTTGTTTCAAAGTTGGGTGTTCGAAACTACGCTTTGATATAAAAAATAATATTAAATTTATACTGTCATAATCTTATATCAGGTGGGACAGTTAGAGGTATTATAACTAAACATCGTGATGAATGCCACACTAAACATGCTCATATATCGTTAACTACATATGAATCTACCATGGACGTTCAATGTGTATCTATGACATGCAAAGATTTTTGGTGTCAGCCTGATTCAAACCCATGATGATTCAACACCTTTGGGAGTTTAAGTTGTGGGTGAAAACTACTTTAGGTTATGACGACTTCATTGCTATAACAAATATACTGGTCTGTATTTTATAAC